TTATTGTCATTATTATAGTATTACGGGGAACCCCGTAGCAGCCACATCCGTGCTCAAGCCTCCAACGAGGGAACATGCGGGAGCTGCACCCACCTGCAGGTGCGATACCTGCTACAGCAGGTGGGCGATACCGGCCAGGGGTCAGCCGGTAGCATCAGGACAGAGCTTCTTCGATGGGCCAGTCACTGTGCCTCCCCTCGGGTCCCCTCCCCCTATGAACATCAGCAGTTTCTGCTCAATGCCACTCGGGGGGACCAACGGCATATCTCTAGGTGGCGGGCGCCAAGCTTGCCCAGGAAGGTACATGAGGCCCTGTCTCTTATACACATCTAGATGTGTATAAGAGACAGCGCGTACATACCGAACACGAGTACACCGGCGAGAAACCCCAACGAGACACATCGATTTCTGCGCACCGCAATGGGATCCGGATGGTGATTCTGCATCAACGGCGGATGGGACCCCCACGTTGCGTCGCTACCATCAACTGCCACGTCATCATGATGCTCATGTCGCAGCCTTTCCCTCCTCAACACCTCGTCTAGGCAAACGTACGGTACTCCAGCCTCACCTCCCGCAAGTCCACCAGCAGTGCCATCAGCAGTGCCACCACGGAAAGCCCTATGAGGATAGCCAGGAGGATATCCAGCAGTGGTGGACGCCTCCGCCCCCTCCTCGCTGTGACCCCATCTCTCTCTCTCCCACCGCCATCTCTTGCCTTCATGATCGTCAAACCTCGATTGCCATTGTCTCTCGTGTTCGTCCCTCCTCCGTTTCATCTCCTCATATCCAGCGTGCACACCGGCCGCTCCGACGGCGGCCCCGCCGATGACGGCCGCCGCTGGTAGCCAAGAGGACGCCCCACCGCCATCATCTCCTCCTCCTCCCAAAAAACCCGTTACACCAGCTTGACTGTGACTGCCTTCTTCCCCTGGGTAATTCCCAAACGTCCCTTCACTTTGCCGTCCCCCTCCATCATCATTCGAACTCCCAACGTCTCCCAACCCACCTCCGAAACCTCCATCCCCGAAATCGCCCCCTCCATCCTCACTCATCTTCTCTCTCTGTGTGTGTGTGTGTGTGTGTGTGTGCTGTCTCTTATACACATCTAGATGTGTATAAGAGACAAGTATAGTTGCCACCCTCAGGAGGTGGACCATTATGGTCATACATACAACGACTGATTTTCAACAGCGTCAGCGTCAAGCTGATAAGCAATCGTAACAAAATGGGATGCAGTATAACATTGACGCTGATAAGCCTGTAGGCAGACATTTGTGGCTGTCAAGCCA